TCTGTCCATCCCGTTTCCCTTCTCTCTCTCTCTCTTGATCCCGCTTCCCTTCTCTGTCTCTCTCTCTTACTCGCTCTCTCTCTCTCTCTCTCACACGCACACACACACACACACAACGAGGGGGCAGAACGCTAAGGATGACCTGGGCCACTAGGGGTAAAACAAAAATACATAGGGCCTGGGAAAAATTGGCAAGTGCGGGGACATTTTGCAAATATGGACAGTACCCGGCAGGGGTATTTTGCAAAGACTACAGGTCCAACCAACGCCAGGGGTGTTTCACAAAACAATTTTTGGGTCAGAGGGCTATTCCGCTCTACCTGGATCTCTTAGGGAAATTTTGGGATATAACTTATAGGGGTATTCGCAAATTATCCCTTTCTTTTTCCGTTTTACCTATAGGGGTATCTCAACTTACAGGGTTCTTTCATTCTTTCTTTTCTTATAAAGCTACTTTCTTCTCTCAATTTCACCTCACACTACCCCACCAATATTCCTAATTGTAGGCATACGGGGAACCCGGGGCTAGGTCCCACTTGCACGATCAACGACCGAAATCTCCTAATTTGCGCAGCACGGATTAAGAGATTCTACCCGTCGATCTTTCCAATCTACGGTCAATATCGCTTGATTCGTGTAAGTGGGACCTAGCCCCCGGTAGCTGCCAGAAGGTCCGTGTTCACGAGAGTCGTGTGTCGTGTGGCGACGCCCGAAGTAGCGGGTGTGATGACACAAATGGCCCTCGCTCCACTACACTACAGTCTACATGCATTTGGACTCGTTCTTGACCAGGTGCATTCGGACGACTCCACCGTCTCGAATCCCTCTGGCCCAGAAAGCGTCCAAGTGCCCGTAGAGTGTTGTCTGTGTAGTGGAGCGAGGCCCCATGACGGTTGTCTGCCGACGCGTGCAACGAAGGTTCAAACCGCTAAGCCATCAGCCTATTTATTGGTGCCGGGAAAGCTTCTGTCCAGGGCATGGACGATAGCTTCAAACCGGTAAGCCGTCAGCCTTCTTGCACAACTATGGCCTATTTATTGGTGCCGGGAAAGCTTCTGTCCAGGGCATGGACGATAGGTTCAAACCGGTAAGCCGTCAGCCTTCTTGCACAACTATGGCATATTTATTGGTGCCGGGAAAGCTTCTGTCCAGGGCATGGACGATCTCACCAGGGCTCGATTTATGCATGTCAACCTGCCGCAAGGGCCATGCTAGTATTGTCTCTCTGTATCGTTCCAATCCAGATGTCTCGTCTTGTTCTGATCCCCTAATTTAATGACGCCTATCCGAGATGGACGGAGCATCAACAACTAGAACCAGAGGGAAGAGGGAGGGGAAGGTTATGCTAATCTTGTCTTTATCGTCCCAATCCTCTAATCGAATTTCTCGAAGACTCGAAGGACTCCTCCCATTTTCACCCTCCTTGTCCCCGTCTTCTTCTTCTTATCCCCTAATCTGATGACGCCCATCTAAGATGGACGTGGCATCAACAACTAGAACGAGAGGGAAGACGGAGAGGAAGGACTACAACGAACACGGAGGAGGAAAGACTGAGGAGAGGAGGGAAATGGGAGAGAGAAAAGATGGAAGGGGAAAGCGTTCAGACTGCTATGGCTGACAAGAACATGTCAGCCAGAGCAGTCCGAACGCGACCGAACCCTTCAGCCCCTCTCCTAGCTCTCCTCCTAGTCGTTAGTATTTTTCTGTTGTCGTTTTAAAATTCTTCTGTTGTTTGTGACGAGGGGGCAAGTACGAAGAGGAGGAGGGGATGGAGGAGGAACTAGTGGAGAGAAACACGATGTGGAGGAGGAGAGGAAGAGAGGGGAGTTGGGGGGGGGGAGGGGTCCGCAGACTGCTGTGGCTCCCATTTCCGACAGTCATAGCACACTCTGAACCCTTCCCTATTCCTCCCTCCTGGCCGCCGCCTCGTCATTCAATTTTTTTTGTTGCCGTTTTTTCTCTGTGTTGCTCGTGGGGGGAAGGGAAGTAGAGAGAGGAGAAGAATTGAAATTGAATTGAAATAGCGAGGCCAATCGCTATGCGTCCATGTCACAATGATATGCAAGAAAGCACCTTCACGGACTACGAGCTCAACGCGCACATTCCCCGACGCGTTTCGCCTGGCTGCGCACCAGGACTTATCAAGGGGCTTCCCGCACTCCCGCATCCACCGTAGCTTACCGCCCAGAGCAAAGAGGCCAGATTGCTCTTTACACGCAATAGAATAACATCTTTCTTACGAGCGTGTACACCGCTCAAACCACGCACGCATTCCTCTACATGTTTCAACCGGGTGCGCTCCGGTCTCATCAGGAGGCTTGCCACATACCCTCGCCTTTCGGCCCACCGCACTCTACCACCCATGAGCTACTGAGGGCCGATACGGCCTTGCCCTCATCTTATAGATCGAGCCTTCCCTTGCACGGCCCTGCCCTTATCATTTGCCATCTCCTGGTTGGCTCATCCTTCCTACGTTGGATCCGTCTGGTTCAGGCAGCCGTCCAATCCTTCGAGTGTGGGCTGCGTGCCGTGCTGGACTGAGAGGAGGAGACGCAAGAGGAGGAGAAAGGGGAGAGAAAGATGACGTGGGGAGGAGAGGAAGAAGGGAGGGGGGGGGGTTCGGGGCTGCTAAGGCTGACGGATTTGTCAGCCATGCAGTTCCCTTTTCGCCCTTCCTGTCTTCCTTGTCATTCACTCTTTTTTTGTTGTCGTTTTATTTTGCTCTGTTGTTCAAGGAGGGTAGGGAAGCAGATAGAGGAGGAGGAAATGGATGAGGAACGAGAGGAGAGAAAGATGAGGTGGCGGAGAAGGGAAGGAAGGGAGGGGCCACTGGTAGCGTTAAGACTGTTTTCTATGACTAAAGCATTGGTCAGCCTTAGCACTGCCCGAACCCTTCCACCACCCCCTTTCATCGTTCTCTCCTCGTCGTTATTCAGAACTTATTGCCGTTTTTTTTTCATCTGTTGCTTGTGGAGGGGGGGGAAGTAGAAAGACGAGGAGATGGAGGAGTAGCGAGGGGAGAGAAATATGAGGAGGGGAAGGGGAGGAAGAAGGAAGGGGGGAGAATTCAGATTCTTCAGACTGCTATCGGTGACGAGCTTGTTAGCCATATCGGTCTGAACCCTTCCCTATCCCTACTTCCTCTCCTACTCCTCCTCTTCCTTCTAAAGTTTTTATTGCCCTTTTTTTCTTTCTCTGTTGTTCTTGGAGGCGAGGGAAGTATAACGTGGAGGAGATGCAGGAGGGGCAAGGGGAGAGAGAAACAAGATCGCGGAGGAGGAAAGGAAGGAGGGAGGGGAAAGCAATCAACTCCGCTGAAAACCACCCACGATCTCCGTTATCTATCGAACCTCCATCGCTAGCATCTTTCTTTGCTGAAGTTGATGATATAGAAAGAACAAACTGGCGCGTTGGGTTTGATCTCTGGATCTCAATGGCGTGATGCGAGTACAGAAGGCATGCCTTCTTTTTTTCCTTCTGCTTTTCCGTTCCTGTTAGCGGCGGAAATTCCTTTTTAGAAGTCTTCATATTTTTTTTTGGGCTGTCAAGATCAAAGAAAACCAACGGCGGAGCTGAGTGTTGTGCCTCTGTCTTCCCGTGAATATAACTCACGGCCATCATGATTCATGAATGTATGCAGGCTATTTTTCCGGTCTGATACGGTCATGATGAAGTAGCCAGCTTGCCTGACCCACCTTGTCGCAGATTTGTCGTCAAGCAATAGGATCACCTATCGCGAATACCTCGATCCCCTATCCTCCATGTCCCTGATCCGCGATGGAGGACTCAGGATCGGGGATCAAGAATAGGGGATCGGCCATTGAGGATAGGGGATCGGTCATTGAGGGTAGGGGGGATGGAGATTTGGGGTAATATGGAGTAGGATAAGGTAGCGTTGAGGATAGGGAATCGGTCATTGAGCGTAAGGGATCCAGGATTGGGGTAATATGGAGCAGGATTGGAGATCATTGAGGATAGGGGATCGGTCATTGAGCGTAAGGGATCCAGGATTGGGGTAGTATGGAGTAGGATAGGATATCATTGAGGATAGGGGATCGGTCATTGAGGGCAGGGGATCGAGGATTGGGGTTATATGGAGTAGGATAGGATATCGTCAAGGATACGGGATCGGTCATTGAGGGTAGGGGATCGAGGATTGGGGTTATATGGAGTAGGATGGGATATCATTGAGAATAGGGGATCGGTCATTGAGGGTGGGGATCGAGGATTGGGGTAATATGGAGAAGGAAAGGCTATCCCCAGACCTCCATCCCCGATCCTCTATAGGAGAGATCAAGGATTGGCTGTCCTTAATCCTCGTTTCCGTATCATCGATGGCTGGTCCTTGATCCGGGATCGTCTCGCTGTTTTGTTAAGATCACATAGTCCTCCTCCATCTTCCTCTTTTTTTTCTCCTCGTCAACCCCCTCCCTGCCTCCTCCCCACCCCAACCATCCCCAGACGATGATCCCTGATCCTCTACTCTATAGGAGATCAAGGATCGGCGGTCCTTGATCCTTGATCCTTAATCCTTGATTGGCGGTCCTTGATCGTTGATCCTTGATTGGCGGTCTTTGATCCTTGATCCTTGATTGGCGGTCCTTGATCCTTGATCCTTTATCCCCCATCATCGGTGGGCGATCCTTGATCCCGGATCCTCTTGCTTTTGTTTTACGATCACATAGTTCTCGTCCATCTCCATTTTTTCCTGTATACGTCAACAACCCCCTCTCAGGGCCTCCCTACCCCATCCCCACCCCAACCTCCTCCTCCTTCTCCTCCTCGTGTCTCCAACTGATCAGCGATCAACGGGTATATGAAGGGATGTGTTGAATTGTTGAGTTTCACGGTTGAGGAACTTTGCTGCGGCATTGTATGTTCAAACTTCGAATGCCTCATGTCCTTTCTTTGACAGACAACCGTCACATTCTTCCCTTGCAGGTGTTAATCCAAGCAACCAACCAATCGGTCAGAGAGAGCTAAGCAAGCAATCTAAAACCCATGGCTGCGGCTCCTGAAGAGGAAGAAGTGCATGGTCACACTGGTCGACTTCTTGACTTTCGCAGCGCTTTCCACGGAAGCGTGTTTGAGAAATATCATGTGCTTCCTCTTCAACTGGCTACCCTGGATGCAGGTGCTGTGGTCTGGACGCCTCCCTATATTAAGATAAGCCAATTCTTGATGCACCCAGGTAATGTCGACCTCCTGAAGAGGGATCGTGAAGCTTTCGTTAACGAGTTTGTCAAGTTTTGCGATGCTGAAGATGATACTACACGTGAGCTGCCGCTCATCGGGAAGCTGGAGCCGATTATTGCCGACTGCCATGATGCTGCGGACGTGGCTAGTAAGTTCATGACTGAATTCGGCCTGTTCAGGAAGGGAGAGGAATCAGAAGACGCCGTTCGGGATCGTTTCAGAAAGCTGGGTACTTGTCAAGATTCCTACACAGATCTGGAGGTCGGTCAATACCTTGGTCTCTGCATCAAGGAGTTTGCGCTCTCGCGTTCTATGCGGGTGTTGGCCCGAGCGTTCCGGCGGGCAGGAGTAGATGTCACCCATGAGTGTGATGAGACCCTAGCCAGGAAACTGTATGACGTTGGCAAAACAGGTGCTCCTGACTTCGATTATTTGCCGATCGGGGACTTCAATATATTTGATACAATTGTGCACCTCATTGACTTTGATCTGGTCGGAAGAGACGGTGAGCACTTCTCGCTGCGAATTATCCTCACCACCTACCCCTCCAATCGTGATGACTGGTCCGCGGAGGTCAGGGACCGTCAGAAGGGCACCCTGATTGCGATATGTGAAGGTGAGATGTCTGATAACGTACTTGATGAATGTTATAATGCGGACGGAGGACCTCGGACATTGGTGAACATTCTGGATGGCAATGTCGTCCAAGAACGGTACAAGCCACACGGTGATGTCCCTACGCGCCTAACAACAGTCACAACGTCAGCGGATTCTTCTTCTTCTCGCTTTTGTAAGCTAAGAGATGGTTGGGTGCTCGATGAGGACGAGGCTGTGCGTTTGTACTGCAAAGACTGTTGTTTGCGGGGCATCATCTCCACCTATGACATAAGAAACGAACTGATGAAATCCTTGCATCGTCTCCCCCAAGCGTCTTTCGTAAACGAGAATGGAGATTCTAGTATTTCCGATTGCAGTAAATCTGAGTTCGAGCTGTTCCTGTCTGCTCTCGCTAAGAGCATCGTCCCCACCTCAAACATAGGACCCGAAGAAATGAAATCCTTGTATCATCTCCGCGAAGCTTCTTTCGTAAAAGAGAATGGAGATTCTATTTCCTACTGCGGTGAATCTGAGTTCGAGCGGTTACTGCCTGTCGCTGCTTCCCTCGCTTATCTGTATGACGGTTGGGTGTCTCGGCGCGTGTACTCTAGCTTTGACTCAGTCGTTCAGCATTTCAGGCTGCACACATCATCGCTGCAAGAGTCGCAGCAAAGAGATTTCCAAGAAATTCAAAAGAATTGCAAACGCTTCCACCGGATCTTCAAGGGAACGTGGTGGGACAGATTGCCTGAAGATTTGATCGTGCGGATAATAGAGATGGCGGTGCATCCACGGCGGAACATAGTTCTACCCTGGAAGAGCTATTAGGTCACCGCAGATCGGGGGGCGCATGTACTGTAGTTTTGACTCAGTCCTTCAGCATTTCAGGCTGCGCACATCATCGCTGCAAGAGTCGCAGCAAAGGGATTTCCAACAAATTCAAAAGAATTGCGAACGCTTCCACCGGATCTTCAAGGGAACCTGCTGGGAGAGATTGCCCGAAGATTTGATCGTGCGGATAATAGTAGAGATGGTGGTGCATCGACGGCGGCACATAGTTCTACCTCCGAAGAGCGCATAGGCCACAGCAGATCTGGCCAAGGGTTGTGATTTCCCTCTTCCCGTAAACCCCGTCACAAGGCTGATGGGAACTCAGATTTTTTTTTATTTTTTTATTTTTTATTTTTTTTGGGTTGGGGGGGGGGAGGGGAAGGGAAATCAGATTCCGAGCACTTGGACGAGGTTTGAGCATGGATGCTAATGGACGCTCCGCGTGAATAATATGGTTGGCGGATAATATGCATTGGGAAAGAAGATGCCAGGCTGTCCTTCGGGACATCCGTATAATTGGAACGATACACAGAGAGAAGATTAGCATGGCCCCTGCGCAAGGATGACATGCATAAATCGAGAAATGGTACAAATTATTACAAAAAAAAAAAAAAGGAAGGAAAGCAGATGCCAGGCGACCATCGTCAGGAACCCACTGCATTTGTGCGAGGCATGAGAATAACTCAGGAGGTTATTAAAGACGGACGTTATGGCACAACGGAGACGCGGGTAAAACAGCGAATGGTTTGATCCCCGGATATTACAGCCAAACAGGTAAGAGAAGCCTTTGTCCAGAACGTGCTAAGAGAAGGGAAACTGACATCAGTGGAGGGCAACACACTCAAGTGGACATGGTGAGCAATGACGAAGGGGCAAGGGGAGAGGCTGTCAGTCCACATCCGTTGCCTAGGGTTCAGTTTTTTGACCCACTCCTCAGGTGCAGATCGGCCAAAGTCGCCCGCTGTATTTGCTAGATAATTCAGGGTCCCAGCAGCAGTCCTCGACTGGCGAAACTCTCTCTCTCTCTCTCTCTCTCTCTCTCTCTCTCTCTCTCTCTGTGTGTGTGTGTGTGTGTGTGTGTGTGTGTGTGTGTGTGTGTGTGTGTCTCGGTGTGTGTGTGCGTGTGAAAACCCATCTGGATGGTTCAAGAATAAGCAAAGGAAGAGCCTAATCTAGGGTTGTAATTCCCCACTTTCGCTGGTACTACAGGCATTATTTGCATCCTCTGCAGTCAGACTAGCTTGTTCCCCCGAACATAACGCATATGCGTTGTATTCGAGTTTCGAAATTTCAAAAAACAATCGAGTAGCTCTATTCGAAATTTAGGGTAGGGCTATTCGAATAGAATGCACATGGCTCGTATCCGAATAGAACGCACCCTATGGTATGCGTTGTATTCATTTACAGCACATTGTGCATAATGTGCGGGGGAAGAAGGGTAGTTTCTCATTGTGGGTTTTAGACTGCCAAAAGGCTGAGAGTCTCAGTTGCAGAGGGTGTTTCATGAAAGCATAAGCGGAGCTGGGTAAGGCTCCCAGTGTATTTTTGTTTTCTTTTGTTTTGTTTTGTTGCAACCCAAAAAAAAAGAAAAGAAAAAAAAAGGAAAAAAAGACCAGCTCTTAGGGTAGGGCATACGCACTAACAACAACAGCAGGGTCAATGAAACTTTGTAGTAGCTGCAGTTAATAATTGGTGATATGGCTGGACTATGTCTGCAGACGTCCTTGTTCCTGTGGTGGATACAAAGATTTTTCGAGCTCCAGTGCTCCCCCGCTGCTCCATAAATGAGTTAATGAAGCCCATTTCCTGGCGGTGATGCAATACATTGATAGGCTATTTAGAAGAGGGGTGAATTCTTTAGTAGGGTGTCAAGCCTGCAATCAGGAAAAGAGGAATAGGGTCTTTCGAAGAAATGAGATGAAACTGAAGGAGGAGGGCATGACGAAGATCTCCGACTTTCTTCGACTCCCTCGCTTTCCCACTCTTTTTTTTGGTTTCTATGTTGCTGGACTCCCTCTCTTTCCCGCTCTTTTTTTTTGGTTTTCCATGTTGCTGGCACTCGCGGTCTATCGGTGTCGACTCCTGCTGCTGGTGCTGCTGCTGCTGCTGCTGAGACTATGCCAGATTGTCTCTGCCATTGGTCACGCTGTGATGTCTCTTCTGCGATGTTTCTGCTGTGATCAGTGTGATGCCGCTCCCTCTGCCAGTGCTGCGGTGTTGTTGGCGCTGCACTGATCTTCGCTCTGTGATGTTGCTGCTAGTGCTGATATGTGCCTTGGTTGCCACACTACCAGTGTTGGGCAGCTTCCATGCTACATCGCCGCTTCTGCAGCTGTCATCCTGCTGTAATGCCGGTGTGATGGCTGTGTTGCAGCTGAAAACATCTGTTGCTGTCGCTGCTGCCGTTGTATTATACTTTCTTTGATGGTGAATTGCAGCTATTCTTTGCAGTGTTGTTATTCCTCTGATGCTGCTGACGTGATGCTCCTGCTGGTCCTGTGCTGGTGTCACGCAGCTGCTGTTGCTGTTCTGGTGCTGCTATGCTGCAGTTGTCATGCTGTTCTGATGCTGTGTGATGCTGCTGTGTTGCTGCTAAAAGCATCCGGTACTGTTGCGGCAGTGTACGATGCGGCAGCTGCTTATGGTGTGTCGTTGGTATTTTTTCCAGTGTTGGTACTGTTGTGATACTGCTGATGTTTTGTTGCTGCTGTTCGTATGGTGGTGTATGGTAGCTCCTGGTACCTCTGTGCTGCAACTGCCGTGCTGAGCTTTCTTCCTCACCTATCTTGCAACTTCACCTCCTCCTGCTTCCACACTGTTAGCTACATGAGATGACTCTTTTATCCCGTTCCCGCATTGGATCTTTCTTTCTTTCTTTTTTTATTCTCAGGAACAATTCTCACATCTATTCCTTGGGACCGCAGTACAGTTTACCGGCAAGCATAGACAAGGACAAGGTTTTGAAAGTTGGCCCACTCTGCCCTGGGTGTGTTGTGGTAGTGTGATTATAGCACTGGCTGTCAGGGTAGGGCCTGCCCATCCCTCAGCCTGCACAACCTTAAAAAAGAAAAGAAAGAAGAAGAAGAAGAAGAAGAAGAAGAAGAAGAAGAAGAAGTAGACAAGAAGCAGATACAGCCCTTCACCTCAGGCTCTCGACGCCCACAGGGGGCATATCTATATGTAGACCTGGGATCGTACATGACCTCCTATGGAACAGACATAACGTTCTTTCATCCTGGAGGACATAGAAAGGACAGGTAAAAAAAATTGTCTCGTTTTACGAATGAAATGAGCCAAGTACTCGTCAAGTTCAACCTCGTCTGAGAGTTCACACGTGAGAAGCCAAATCGAGATACAATCAACATTTAAAGATGTCGTCTCCAATATTATTATCAATATACAAGAATGTTTGTCTCCAGCGGCTCTGCCCCACACACACACACAACGGATCTCAATCAGGTGGTGGTTATGGCTTCTCTCTCTTCTATCTCTCTCTCTCCGTTTTGCTTCTCTCCTGACTTAGTTCCTTCTGCCTCACTCTCTCTCTCTCTAACCCAGATCGTCACCCTGGATACACACACTCAGGTAAGCTTACACCTTGGCGGCTATGGCTGCCGTAGTCACGAGCGCCCTCTTCTTCTTCGGGCGCACATTGCCCAAGTTGTCTTAACGCACAAGCAGCAGCAGCGCTTCCGCATCTCGCAACTGAACAAGTGACGAGCCACTGCACTGTAGCAGCTCGATATAGGCCTTGGCCTGACTTCGCTTGGCTTGGCTTGGCCTGCTTCAGACCAGTACTGGTCGGTCGCGGCCTGTCTGCTGTAAACATTTTGTCGGTCCGGTAGCTTCCGGATTTTCCTGGGACATGCGGCAAAATTGGACTTGGGACTGTCAACCTGGACTGGACTTCTTCTGGACTTTCCTTGTCGGGTACCGGACGGACTCCTACCGACCTACGACGATTCGGTAGCAACACCTACCGACCTATACGACGTTTCAACCTCTAGACCCTATGGTCTACCCTACTGGGACACCCTGGGACTGGGACACTTCGGGACTCTGGGACCTGGACTGGGATGTCTGCAGCATGAATCCTTTCACGAATGCTGGATAGGGATGGATCTCTTTCAGTCTCACTTTTTTTCTTCTCGTTCTCCCTCCCGTGAGTCCTCGTCTTCCTTTCCTTTGGACATTTCTCGTGGTGAAGAAATCTGTTACTACCTTTGGACATTTCTCGTGGTGAAGAAATCTGTTACTGATGTTTTTGGTATTCCTCTGGTTGCAGTTCTTTGACTCCCTATTACTCAATATGCTTGCTGTAATAAAGTGACGAGTGTGGCATAGCCTATTGGGCAGAGTCTCGGCATATTATCATTGTGACTTTTTCAGCTTGGTGCTTGCTCACAATTGGATGGCTGTGCGGACAGTGTGGTTGGACAATCGCGTTTCTGGTACGTTTTTTTTTTTTTTGAAACAAGTGCGGTAGTACCACACTTTCAAACTGTAGAGGCAAAAAAAACACTAATGGGCAACGAAAAAATGGCCGTAGTTCGAAAAGGCAAAGATAACAGTAATGGGCAGTAACCTCACACCCCGACTTCAAAAACTGCGCTGGTGTCACATCCACGGTGGTCCCAGCCCGTGGCCGCGCGGCAAGGAGTTTTTTTTTTTTTTTTTTTTTTTTTTTTTCGTTCAGTCGCACCGCGCCGCGAAAAAAAGGAAAAAAAAGTTGTTTCATCCCCATGGTAGGGCCACAGCCGAGATGTCTCGGCCACACCCCAGATTGGCCACGGCCGAAATGTCTCGGCCACACCCCATGGTCGGGCCAAGGCTGAGATGTCTCGGCCACACCCCGGATTGGCCACGGCCGAGATGTCTCAGCCACACCCCAGATTCGCCACGGCCAAAATATTTTTCACCGGCCCGGTACTTGGGAACAGACCAGTACCCAGACTGGTACCATGCCTGCGACACAGCCACCCATTTAAAACTGCCACAACCGCTCATATCGACGTTATTGCACTCCCATGTTTCGCTTGCCTTTTCGAAGTCGGGCCCCGACGAATATGCCCACAGATGTTTTTTTTGCCCTTTCGAAACTATTTTGTGCCACAAATGCAC